TTTAATCGGAAACACAGCTGGGAATATTTGGTTTTAATTCGGCTTTTATCAGGGTTTATTCTTTTGTATTTTTGTATTGTGTATTTTTTGTATTTTGGGTATATTATTTGTTTTAATATGCTGTGAACCGCCCTGAGTCCTATGGGAGAAGGGCGGTATATAAATTAAAATAATAAATAAATAAAATAAATAAATAAATAAATTATGAACTATTGTATCTGATAACTGTACTGTAACTAAAACATTGTTCTTTTTTGTAGGAATGGTTTAAAAAAAATGCACCAAAAATGGAAAAAAATCAAGAAAACGTATGTTCCTAAACTTAACTCTTCCATATCTGTAAATACAAAATTAGGAATTATAGATCACAGTTTTATGTTTGTCTACACTCATCTAAATTCCACTTCATTTCAATGAATTTCATTCCCAAGTCAGTACTACTATATACAGTAAATAGGCACAAAACACAGGGAATTTCAAACAAATGCTTGCTTGCTTGCTTATTAGCACAAAAACTGCAAAATTATTACAAATATATTCTGCAAAACACTGTGACTTTTTATTAACTCCTTTCCTCTTTCAAAAGAACCTCTCAGGTTCAACCATACATCTATGGCTTCCATGAAGTATTTATCATTTTCAAATGCAGAAGATTTGTGCTGAGAAGAAAAAGAAAGTCCACATACAAGGACGAACTACCATAAGGGGGGAAAATCAATATACCGATAGTACAGGAACAGATGCATGTCTACAGTGCAAACAACTATTGTGGAGTCTGGTGAAAAGAGATTACTCTATAGCTAAAAAGAAATTGCTCTATGACTGAAATAAATAAATGAATTTTTGAGAACAGCGAAACAAGCTTGAATTTAACGCATTAAGACAGCAATGCTATACACAATTGTAAGTTCCACAATTGTAAGTTCCACTGAACTCAGCAGGGCTCACATTTCTGCACCCAAAAGACTTAACTGTAAAGGAGCTAACAAAAAGCAGGTGGGTTATGGGAATTCACCCTGAGTAGTGGAACTATATGTTGAGAAATGATCTATGAATTACTCTAATTCACAGCTGAAATTAATACCATACTATGTAGAAATGTACGCTATGTAACAAAAATAGACTGTTTCAAATATTTATTGTATAAAATACTCATTTTATAGGCATGACTTACATATTACCCTTTTAGTGTGAAAACATAAGTGAAAAAAGATTTCTTATAGATGCTTCTAGCAGGAGAACAAACAAGCCATTTTCTTGCCCAATTGCAGTTTTTCTCTGCCACTGAGAGGAAAAGGTTGCCTTGTCCATTTTTTTCTTTTTTAAGTGAGTAAGGTAGCAGGTGGAGAATAAAGGACTGTATTTTCCTTAAAATCTTTCTTACCTAATTGGTTACTTACTACGACAACAAGAGTTTACATACAAAAATTATCAACTTATAATTATCAATTATAATTATCGACCTTATCAAGACTTATACTGAAAAGTCCTAAGTATTTTGAACAGTTAAGTCTCACTCAGCTATTTATCCAGAAAATACCAATAAACATCAAGGTGAATGGCTAACTTCAATAAAATAAATGCAAGTGACCTAAGACAGGGGTCCCCAAACCCTAGTCCGTGGACCGGTACTGGGCCGCGGCATGCCAGCAACCGGGCTGCACAAACAAGCAAAGCCCCATCTGCGGGATGCAGGTAGCATACAAAACCATGCCCCCTCTGGTCCGTGGAAAAAACTCTCTCCAAGTAACCGGTCCTTGGTGCCCAAAAGGTTGGGGACTTCTGACCTAAGATACTTGAGAACAATAATGAAAAAAAGATTTCAGCTTAATTGTTCTATACCTTTCAACCACTTTTCTACAGCAATCAATTGACCCACTATCTTTCTTCTAAACTCTTTGAGCATCTTACCTTCACTAACAGGTAACAACTCATTTGATATGTTTTTTTAATAAGCTAGTACAAGTCTATTTGCAAGCATGATATTAGTCCTTGCTTCTAAGGAAAAGTTTAATGGTGACTTACAATTTGGAGAATTACCTCATTTATGTGAAAAATTATACAATATACATTTTTTAGATTGTATCTTTAGCTGTACCTTTAAAATTTCCTCCCCTCCCCTTTTCTTCCTCTCTTTTTTAACTTCTTTGAATTGCCTGTGTGTGTGCGTGTGCATGTGTATATAGAGAATTGAAAATGTGCTTCATGCTTTGAGGTATTATATAAATGGAGATTCAAGAGTGATTTCAAATAAGATCATTATGTTTGTTCTGACAAATATCTTAGAGTACTTTGAATATAAATTAGGTGGGAGACTCTGATTCATATATTGAGAAATTAATTTCTCCAAAAATACTTTAAAGATCTATTGTTTTACCTTCTAACAGACAAGATCAAGTTCTGATGAACCACAACAGACAAACAATAAAGATCAAGAGTAACTGTGATGAGCTGTATCTTTCTTACTCTATAAGCCAGCCGGGTAGATTTATCAATTATCAAGTAATGTTACCTAATACTGAGTAAGTTATTCCGCTTATTATTTATTATTTAATAAATAAATACATGAATAAATAGTAAAGAATAGCATGATTTTATAGCAATGTAGTTCTTAGAATCTTTGGCAACCTTCTTTTAAAATCAAAAAGCAACCAAGAAAAAAGAACTGAAAAGCTTTGAAAATTACATGACTATCAAGTCTCTGAACCTAATAACAATGAAAAGATACTGGTAGATCACAAAGAGTAGAAAGGAATGTTGAAGAATGGGTTTGAAAGCCAAATAAATCTCAGGCTGCCTTTGTAGCCATGTACCAGCAATCTGTCCATACCAAGTCTCACAATGAAGAAAAATAAGAACACAAAGTATCCAAACTCAAGGACAATTATATACATTAAAACAAACAAATAAATAAATAATACTGTATTAATTTTTAATACTAATTTAGTGATCAGAGAAATACAAAATGGAAAAAGCGTGAAGTAAAGAGTCAAAGTATGAATTGTCTCCCTGCTCCCATCTATAAAGAATTACTCTAATTTTAAAATGGGTTTACATCCATCAGCAAAGACATTTCCATTTCTCCTAAACTGGAAATAACTCATGTTTCATGTCAGACAATATATGATTTGCAGTCTTCCTTGTCTCTCAACCATTTGGGATTAAGGAAAAAAAAATACAGATCTTATGCATTATTGCTGGTACTCTATGCATTGTGTGAAAGGTCCAGGATATCAGAGTAGTTAAAAAGCAGTTCTGTCATAATTTGCTACCATACAGAAAAACTGGCACATTAAGAATGGATTGCAGAATTCTTTCTGGTATCTGGATCATCCTAAAATACAATGAATGCATCTTGTGTTTACAAAAAAAATATTTTGGTACTGAGTTAAGAGGCAAATTCTATTTCTAACATTCCCTAAGTGGAGACACAGTAACAAGAAGAGCTGTGGTGCTGTTAAAATCTGGAATGCAAGTCCCAAACCAAGCTAAGGATACATTCTGCATGAGATAGTATATATTTTACACGATAAAAGGTACAGACTGAAATGAATCTTGAAATAACACTGAAATGAAACTTCAGCTTCTGTTATTTCAGTTTATTCTATGTGGACCAGGACAGCTCAGTACTTCTTAAGGTAGTGGCCCTCAAACTTTGTGGTACCATAATCCCTAAAATAATAAATGAATTTGTCTTATTCATTTAAATGATAAATAAAATTACTAGATTACTCTGTGTATAAGCCACCAGGTCTGCCCATACCATGTCCAAGCTCCAAGCTCTGCTTGGAAAACCTGATTGTCTATTTTATTCTCCAGCTGATTGTTTTGGTTTTCTATGTAGCACGTGTTGTCCAGGATAGACTTTGGATTTCTAAGAAGTTTCCAGTGTGCTGCTCTCCATTTTGCTCATCACCTCCTCTGTCGCCACCTTCTTTTTCCACCACTTGCCTTCTTCTTTCTCCCAACAATGGAATAGCATCTAAAGGCTGTTATTTCCACCATTTAAAGATTCTCTTCTATGAATTGTCTTTGGCATCCCTGATATTGCGAACTGCCACTGTAGAATAAAATCCTTAAAACCCAAATTCTCCTTCAACTGTTTTATGTCCTAGTTGCTGTAATCATCAGAATTCAAGGCTTTTAGTTGCTGGTCCACTGGGGGAGAAGGAAAGGCGGGGGGAAAAAAGGCGGCGGCAATTGATGGGACTTGCCAGTGGAATGTGTAGCAGCAGAATTCAGAGATCTTGAAGCCTTAGGTTGACTCCAGATAGAGGCTGCTACTGTGACAACCAAATAATCATTCAAAGAATACAGAAAGACAGCTGGCTTGTCCACTTAAGTGGAAGTAGTTTATCAAAGCCCCCCCCCCCATTAATGTCCACAATCAAATTTGTTTGCAACAAGGGAGCTACAACTCACAATATGAGAACTCCTATATTAAGGGTATCAAACTGTGGCAGATTGATCATATATTTGAATAAAAGGCATTTGGAAATAACAGTGGCTGACCTGTACAGCCTGTTATTGTCAGGTGCTCCATAGTCTAATAGTACATATTGCTAATAAGGAATTTATCTACTTTTCACTGATAAATTAATGTCGATTAAATACCAATGTTGATTCATGTACTGCTGTATTGGAATAACACTAGGTATAATTCAAACTTAACTTTTTACTGATTGCCATACCAGATTTTAAACAATGGCCAATATACTTAAAAAGTAAGACCCCGATTAAAGTACATTCCAACTTAAACACTGAAAATTCAGGATAAACATGATGACAGCATACTATTTTAAATTTTCCAAAAATATGTGTCATTACCTTTCTCTAAGAGATGAGCGATTTATCACAGGAGTTGAAAAAAAATTCTGCAACGATGCAGGTGCTGAATGTATTAATAGACGATCTGAATAAACCTGCCTACTGCTCATTTTTGTGATCAAGTGCTCATCATAGGTGTCAGGAAAACAATCAAAGTATTTCTCATGATGCGATCCAATAATCTGTTTAGAAACACACACACACAAAAAAACCCTCCAAATGATCTTTGTAGAAGATACAGTTAATGTCTTAGTTAAATCTGATAGTTTATTGTTAACAATGTAACAAATACATTTCATAATATATTAGGATGATTGCGGAGGCAGAAATGAAACATAAGAAATTCAATTCTTTCCAACGCCAATGCTATTTTTTCTGTCAAATCATGTAATTTAACATTTCTACTACAAATTTCAAATTTCTGGTATTTATGTGAGGGGTGTTAAATTTAATTGTTTTATACAAAAAGTTGGATATATTTCTTTGTTTTAGGCCAGTGATGGCGAACCTTTTAGAGACCGAGTGCCCAAACCGCAACCCAAAACTCAATTATTTATCACAAAGTGTCAGGGCTGCATCAGCATTGTGGTGCCCTCAGGGGGTGAGGAGTGTGGCCCACTGGGTGGGCATGGCTATGATGTTCACGGTAGACTGAATGGGCGTGGCCGGGGTGGGCATGGCCATCTTCATGTTGCTCATGGGGAGATGCCTATGGGGGCTGGGCAGTATTGGGGGAAATCCAGGGGGTCTCTGGTGGGTGGGGCGGAGGACAGGAGGCTCATCCTGCGGGGTGAGGCAGGAGGTAGGGCGGGGGTGCCATTGCTGCGGGGCAAGGCGAGGCAGGGGCAGCTGCTGCCTGACACCATCAGCCCCCACACACAGAGGCCAGCAAGCGCATAGGGGCGTGCTTTACAACCTCTACTTGAGCTTGCTAGCCAGCTGCTTCACCTCCTTTGTGCTGGGTGGGGCTGCCGCTCCAGGCGCCGGCAGTGGCCTAATGGACCTGCGTGAGCAGGCGGCAGTGGCAGGTGTGCCCACAGAGAGGGCTCTGAGTGCCGCCTCTGGCACGCGTGCCATAGGTTCACCATCACTGTTTTAGGCAATAGGGAAATAAGTGGGCAAAGACTATCAAGATGAATTTCAACAAGGGCAAATGCAATATCCTACATTTGAGCAGAACAAATCAAAAACACCAAGTATGGGGAGGACTATATTGGGCAGTAGTATGTATAAAGATCTGCATTGGTCTGACCACACCTAGAATCTTTTGTCTAGTTTGAGGAACTGTGTTTCTAGAATGGCCCTGCATACTCCTGCATATAGAGAGTGCCAAGATCATAAAGAGCCTGGAATAATTCTTATGAGTTATGGTTGGAAGCTCTAGATATGTTTCTCTCAAGGTGACATGAAATAAACAATGGGTTTTAATTATAATGAAGTAGATTTCAGTTGGGCATAAGGAAAATATTCCTAAAGATATGAAGCTGCTCAATAATGGATTATTTCAGAAGATAGTAGTTGTGTTTAAACAAAGGCTTGAGTTCACCTGCTGGGAATGATACAGTAAAGGATTCCTCAACTAGATAGGGATTTGGCTATGATTTCCAAGTTCCAATCCTTTCATTCTACTATTTTGATAGGTTTGAGTGTTTCAGATGTTCAATCAAGAAATAAAAAATGTCCTTTAAGTTTGTGAATTTTTCATATCTTAACTCAAACATATACTCACTGATAAAGCAGGTGACAATGACAATATTGTGCAGAAAATCAAAGGATTATAAGAGATTAAATCAATTACAGTTAATGAAGTATTCTGTTTCTGTACTTACTTTAGTATTTTTGGGTCTGTAACTGCCAAGCAGACTAGGATCTTAAAAAGAAAAAAAATAGTAAAATTAAAGAATTTTTATTTACAATGATAAGATATTAGTAGTAGAATATTTAGATATAAAGTCATTTTTCAAAAAATACACAAAGTATTTTTAAAAAGTACAATCATTTAAACCTTTAAACTGAGAACACTGGCTTGCTTGAATACTACAGTCTTAATTGTAATAAAGCACATAAACTAGTATTTAGATAGTGAGATAATTTACATTTGTGACATCATTATTCAAACTAATACAAGAGCCTCTGGCTCCAAGTCATTATTTCTGAAATAGTTTTCTCAATAAAACCCATATTTTTCTTTTTTTGATGTCTACTCTTAAAACAAGCTACCATCACAATGCACCTGAAAACTCAGGAGATTTCAGAGACTTCTTCCCATCCCACTAAGCTATAATCATCTGAACATGCTTTCCCACTCCAACATCCGAGAGGAGGCTGCCCAAAATTCTGTTTTGATGTATATGGGACCCAGGTATGACAACTGAAGAGGAACTTGGAATAGGCAAGGGTTGTACTCAGTTTCAGTAGGAGGAGGAGCCAAATGAATCCAGAAAGAAGAACAATATATTTTTGCTTGCCAATTGCAATTCCTATTCCTAGTTCTTCTTCAGCGCCTGCATAGATTTCTTGCATATTGCCAGGCAGGAAATCTGATCAAGAAGAATACAGCTCTGAAATGGTCAGGATTCAAATAAGGCAGCATTCTAGGTTTGAATGTGCGGACACGGTGGCACAGCGACTTAATGACGTTGGAAATGCTGGCCAGAAATGGTTTGCACTCCAGCGGTTCGAGGCCAGCTCTGCGAAACTGCTTAAGCTCCCGCTGCTCATTCCCTGGTTCATGGCCACCCAGCAGTTTGAAAACATGCAATATTGCAAGTAGATAATTGGGTACCACGTCGGTGGGAAAAACCTAGCTGCATTCATATGTGCAGAGAGCAGAAGCCTGGGCCTGGCCGGAAGTGAGGCAATGCAACATGAGGCAAGGTGAGGTGAGACCAACAGGAGTTCAGAAGAGCCAGCAACCTGAGCACCGCGAGTCAGCTGATATAAGCTACCTTGCCCCCCCCCCCGGGGTGTACTAAGAATAGGCAGACAAGTACCGAACAAAATAAACTGGCAATTTAGGCTGTCAGGACTGCATTGTGTCTAGCATTTGTAGGTTTCCCTGACATTGTATGCCATACCCTTAATAAATAACCACAAATGTATTCTATCACTGAAAACAACGACCTTTGGGATAGTTGTTAGGTACAATTTTATTCCACCTAGCGTTAATTGCTGTCTTATAGAGACATATTTTGATCATCAGAAGACAATTGTACAACTAAGATCCTAGCATGTATCCTGTTATAGGAAGTATGAATGTGCATTTTGATATTCAGTTTTCCTTTTCAATATTCTGCTTCTGAGTTTTGCTTCTTTAGAAGGCCCATCTACAAGAATTGGATTTTTTTCCCCTTTTTGAATAAAATGCTTTCCTATATAGTGGTCAGCAGCTCTCTTCCCTGACTGGAGGAAAGATTGATAAGTCATCTACTTTCCTTCTGTTCCAATTTTTTTTAGCTAAATGTCTTTTTCCTTGTTAACCTTTCTATTACCACTTTTCTGCATGCAAGATCTCTTGAGGCATCAAAGTCCTGCCCTTCTCTCACTTCCTGATTTCCAAAGCAATGTCTAGTTGCAGGCCATTCAGGAACTGTTAATCTTGAATTACATCATTTCCAATCACCAGTTCCTCCGAAGGAGGTAGCAACATAGGAGGGTCAGTCCCATAAGATATATCAATTCAGAAGCTAAGGATCAGCATGAAAGCAATTCAGATCTAGTTCTAATAATCAGAGGTAGCTTGATTATCTTTGTATCCATCCATCCACCCATCCAACTCTTAAGCAAAATAACAGCTCCTACAGAAGTAGAATGCACCCATAATAAGTGTTTTAAAATATAACAACAAAGCTTTTATTTAAATGTATTTCTTTGTGGTAACATTATTGAACACAGCACAATTGGCAAAACAACTATTTCGATCTTACTTTATAAAATGAGACAATCAATTTTATATTATAACATATATGAACAAAAATCAAATTATTTAAAGAAATTCAGTGCTTCTTTTCATTTTAATATTGTATGGCATGGGAAACACTGCAGACCTTTTTTCTTCTTCTATTAGATATTACTGAAAATATGTGATTTACACTTTAGCTCTTTTGTGATTATGAAAAAAAAACCTGTGACATGTACTCCTCCCTCTCATACCACTGCAACATGGAAAGAAATGCCAAACAGCTTTCACATCTCCATATATAAGGGGGGGATTCTGGGATATCAGCTAAAATGGAAAAGATTTAGTATACATCAGAGTATAAAATGCTATAAACAGGATGTAGATAATGTGAAAAGGCTTTACTGTCAAACAGAACAGTTATTTAGACGAATTATTTTTTATTCCAAGGATATCTATAATGATAGCATCCTCTCTTCTCAGACTACTGAAGGTTTGTTCAATTAAAATCATACATTAATTGATTGCTAAAAACAATGCATCCCAATACCAACAGAAACAAACAAACAAAAATACTTCTAGGACACATAATAATTTAACTGTAAAATAGGTCAAAGAAGAGGCAGATGCTATAAGAAAACACTATGCAAAAATATAGTTTTCCTTGAACAGATAACAGGAATGACTGGAAACAACAGAACACATAATCCAAGAGATATAAATGGGAAACAAGATGTAATATACTTCCTAAAAGTAATGTAAGTTTGTTTTGTAAGACAACAGAACTTTGTTTTTTATATCAATTGTGTGACCCAAGTCACAAAATTCCCACAGTAAGAAATTGAATGTAATGACTTTTAAAAATTTCTACAAAGAAATTGCTGCCAATTAAATAGAATTGCACTAGCAGCTTTAAGAGCACTTAGAATTGCAGTATTTTTTGAAACATGTTATGTCAGTGAAAATGTAAGAAATCAGATACTTTTCTCCTGAACCAGAAATGTCAATGAACTAGACAAAGCAAAAACATAATTAAGGCCACTAAAATAGGTTTTAAACCTAAACTGCCACATCTTTTGTACACTAATAATACTTGCCATAGGCTGCTCCTTCCTTGTTATTATCCTTAGGACGACACCAAGTATGAACCTGAGGTGAGGGAGTCAACTCTTCAACCTAAAATGAAGTAATTATTAAAACGTCTTAATATAGGTAGTATTCTTTAATGATCCTAATTGGGACTGGCAATTGTGCCACTAAGCAAAGCTGCCACTAAGTATCAGGAAGGGAGGGTATGTTAAGGGCCCAGTCAGTTAAAGAATTTCAGCTGGCAGGGACTAAGAAGAGAACAATCTCTGCCATTGCCCCCGCCCTATGGAACCCCTTGCCCCCAGAGGGGAGGCTGGCCACATTCTTCTGACCTTCCAGAAAAGCATCAAGACCTGGTTCTGCCAGCTGGCAAAGGAAACCAAGATTGGTTTGCAATCTTAGGGTAGTTGGTAGCTTAAGGATGCTCCCTATGGCTTTTTAATTTTGTTTTTGTGTTTTTATATAGTTTTATGGATTTTATTGTAAACTGCCCAGAGTCACTTAGATAATGAGATGGGCAGTATATAAATTTGATAAATACATGTGAAAGAAAAAAAATCACATGACCGCAACTCTGCTTTCCAGGTGGAAAGATACAAGGCTATCAGTTTCAAACCTTTATGAAACCATACATTCGCCCATACTTTGTAATGCTCAAGTGTCTGCTTACTGTTTTGTATACATCAAAAGCAATGCAATTATGCTGCAACGTAATGCTGGGAGCCATGAGTGCACTGTGCAAATAATTTACAGTACTCTGTAAATATGGTGGCGGGGAGTATCAAGCAAAGGAGAGACTGCCTACAGAAATTGCTTACTTCCCCCCTCACACTCATTGCAGAGTACAGAAAATGGAGAGAAAGAGACTTCAAAAGAATAAGCTGTTTGTTCTTCTACACGTCAAGAACAATAGTATTGCACTGGCGGTGAGAAAGGGTTAGGCAAAAGAGAGATTATCTACAGAAATAGTTTGGGGTTTTTTTCCTACTCCCTCCCCCCGCCGCAGAGCAGAAAGATTGAAGAGGAAAAGATTTCAACAGAGTAAGTTGTCTGCATAGCAAACTGTGGCTTCACAGACTGCCAACACAATCACACTGCTTTCAATGTGTAGAACACCAAAGAGCTTATTTTCTTGCAATTTCTTTCTCTCCAATCAATCTCAAAGGGGTGGGGGGAGAAAAACACAGGTCGGCACAGGACAACTGTATATGTATTGACTGTAATCGCGGTGACATGATTGAGGAATACTGTGAAGTCTTAAATGGTCTGCAAAGTTATTTTTTGCAGAATCATACGTTTGAACTGTCACTGAACAAATGGTCAGTAAGTGAGAACTATCTGTATAACGTAAAGCATGGGTAGAACTATGCCTTCTCAGGCAGAGCTGGTCTGTAATGTGGGGGTCCCTCCTGGACTTACCATTCCTGATCTAGAGAACCTTTATATATCCACATCTGGCACATTAGCTGCAGCCTACCCTTTTGTGCACAATCACTCAGGCCTGTGTCACATTGCAGCTGAACTATTGCAATTTGTTCTATGTGTGACTGGTCTAGAAAGCCACTGGGAAGCTTCAAGTATTGCAGCATACAATAGCCTGAGTAGTAGACTTATATATTGGAATTTATATGCTATTCCAATCCAGAAAAACTCTTGATTGGCAAATATTTCTTACTTTCAATAAGAAGATTAAAATAAAATAGTGTGACAAAAAGTTGTCTAACACTATCAAGTAAAATTACAAAGAAAATTATGGTCACAAAGAAAGAATAAACATTCAGGCATGTCAAAAGGTGGTGTTCCTAATTCACATGAGATCCTTTTCTAGGGAATTTCTTGAAAAGCCCTGTTTTTAGTTTTCCTAAAACTCAGCAGTGGGACTAGTTTGATCTTTGAACGTAAACTATCCTTTAGAAAATGGCTGTAACTGAGAAGGTTTGACTCCTCAGGCATTGCACATAACAGTACCAAAACAAAAGGCCTTGAGACTCAATCTCTACGTCCCCATTGCCACAAAAGAAGCACTGCAACATAGTGCTCCCCCATCTACTATAACCTATGCAGAAGGATACCATGGATAAGGTTATTGAAAGTTGCTGAGATGTTCAGCATCTTCAGTAGGATTGTACTTTCCTTATACTGAACCTGCCAAAGATCACTTAACATGGCAGCTGATGCAATTTTTATTTCATATTTAAACCAGAATCCTGATGGATCGGGATCCAAGTAATTTATTTAATTCAAGATTACCTGAAGCTATATCTCAATCACCTATTCAACAACCTTCCCTAAAAAGGAAAGATTGGAGCCACAATAGCTAGGTTGAGCAACAGCTTCTTGGGGACGGGCACAAGTCTACTTCTTTCAAGATGGGATTAAATGCCTTAAGGTGCTAGATGACCCAGCAGCCAATTCTTCAGCCTGGATTTCCAACAGAGAACTGAGAGCTTCAAACTTACTATAATGACCCAGGTTTGGATTTGAACTCTTACTCATGTCCCTACATACTTATTTGTCTTTCTTATTCCACCAGAACTCTAGGAATCTCACCTCTATTCAATTTGATTGACAATAAAGAAATGGCTTGCCATTGCTTTCTTTCAAGATGTTTTTCTAATATCTCACTCTAGCCTAAACCCCTAGAATTTCTGATGATCTCCCATTCAAGAACTATAACCAAATCTGATCCTGCTTAATTTTTTGAGATCAGGTAAATAACTTGAATGCTACTTAATCTTTCCTCTAGACCAGGAAAGAACTAGTTGTCACAAAAGAGTAAAATTAAGTAAAAGTTTTCTAAAATAACTGGAAGAGAAAGATTAGATCTATGCTTAAACTGTTACCGTTAAGAGGATACATACACGACGAATTACAAATGGAGGTCTGTCTGTTTCTTTCCTGAAATCAAATGGCCCTAGGTCTAAGTGAGCCAGGCGTTGTCTGATTTGCAGAAGCTCACACATACGTCTCTTTGTATAAGGAGAAGGAGATCGAGAAAGAGATGCTACTGTGGGTTGCTCATAACTCTTTGTTGCTAAACAGGGCCTATTTCTCTCAGGTGAAGCTGTGTTCTTCTTTGAAGATTTGATCTGTCGCATTCCTTCTGTAGATGAATGAAACAGTCCATCTAAATTATCCTGAATTAAAGGAAGAAATTATTAAGACTAAAAAGCTTCAAAGTATTTGGTCTCACCACTGAACATATCATAACCAATAATTATCTTGCTTGATATCTCCCTAATTAATGAATAATTCTGAGATCACATATTTTGCTTACCGTATGTTGAAACCTCAAACAATCCTTCTCAATTTATTTTAAAAAAAGTGAGAGGGGAGAAAAAGGAAAAAAAACAAAAACCTAAGAGGTAATAATTTTATTAGAATGTCCTTTTTTCTAACCATATGGCCTGATGATGAGTTCTTGGAAACTAGGCAGTTTCCATAAAACTTCAACCAGTTTAATAAGTTATTATCTTAGCTTCTAAATGAAAGAAAGCCAGTTTTTCTTTCTTTAGCCCTATGTTTCCCTACTATCTAACACTATTTACTGCCTCAGCTACCCTATAGCTGAAAAGAACCATTTTCCATGGTCTGAAAGAATAGCAAATCTACCTCAGCTAGTTGAAAAATAAATAGTATTTATTTATTTATTTATTTATTTAATCCCATTTATACCCCGCCCTTCTCCCGAGGGACTCAGGGCGGCTTACAGGTAAATAAAAACAGTACAATACAATAGATATCTCTAAAAGCCAAATTAAAATATATATTAGATAACCTGTATTAAGTTTAATATTATAAAATCCCTTTAAAATCCCTATAAAATCCCCCCCTAGGCCAATCCCGCTTGATGGAAAAGCCATGTCTTGAGGGCACGGCGGAAGGAGGGGAGATCCGGAATAATCCGGATCTCTGGGGGGAGTTCGTTCCACAGGGTGGGAGCTCCCACAGAGAAGGCCCTCCCCCTGGGGG